CAATGATGACGTCGTTGGTTATGTCGGAGATCTTGTTGCGTTGCTCAGAGAAGCGTCGAATGTAATCTCGAAGAGACTCTCCAGACTTCTGAATGATGTTGTAGAGATCGAAGTGTGTACCAGGCCGTTCAAAAGTGCCTTGGAAGTTGGCGATGAAGTGGTCGCGTAGCTCTGCCCATGATCCGATCGTGCTGCGGGGTAGCCCGTGGAGTCATGACCGGGCAGAATCCGCTAGGGCCACAGGTAGATAATTCGCCATGGCTTTGCTGTCTCCTCCTGCTGCGCGGATTGCGAGACCATAGACGGTGAGCCAAGACTCAGGGTTGGTGGTGCCGTCATATTTCTCGATTCCAGTCGGCTTAAAGCCGGCTGGGCAATCCACTCGACGCAGATCGCTTGTGAAGGCAGCAACTCCGTCCACATCGTCGTCGTAGCGATCCGGTGAATGATAGCCTCTTGCTGCGCGGCGCTGGTTGATGGTGTCGCGAAGATCGATGGGGCGCCTTCGATGTGGGGAGTGTGGTCGTTCAACTCGACGCTCCCTATATCGTTCGGGAGGCGAACGAACAGACCGTTCATCATGTCCCCTGCTCCTGCGACTAGATCCGGCACCGGCAATGCTGAGGCTTGGCTGGTGATAGTCTTGAGATCGAAGATGAGGGACTCGGCTACCAGTCGGGGTGCGGGTGCTTGCGGAGTTGGCTGGAACCGAGGCAGCGATCATGGTCTTCGTCTGGTTCAAGATGTTGACAACATGATCAGCTTGGTTGAGTGCGTCTTCCTTGAGGAGGGTGTCGAGGAGAGTGATTGCTGCAACCGCGTTCTGCTAGGGGGTGCGAAAGACCACTGTTCCATTGACGTCTTGTTGCCCAATGAGCTCTCTCGCTCACCGCCCAGATTCCAAGGCGTGTTGCCATCGATCTTCAGCCTCCTTTGCAATCCGTTCGCGATCTTGTTGCTCACGCTGTAGTCGTTCTTGCTCCTGTCGCTATCGCTCTTCCTCCAGTCGGCGACGTTCAGCTTCTTGCCGTGCGCGATCTTGGTCCGCTTCTTGGGCTCGGCGCTGTTCCTCCGTTTCGTTGTCAGCCATGAATACGCCGAAGAAGAGGGGCGTGTAGTTATCCTCATAGCTGTCGTCGAAGTTGTCGTGGTCGCCGTGGTCATAGTGGTAGCCGAAGTCGTCGTAGTCGAGGATCTCGGTTGGTCGAGAACTGACGCCGGGGGAGCTGAGGTAGCCATCCAACTCTTCCGTCAAGACTGTCCCAAGAGGTTGGAGTATAACGCCAACCTCCCTGGATCTAGATTGGATCGGGGCCGAAGCCGGAGCTCGCCAAGATCTTCGAGTGGGAGATGTCTTGGCTGTGAAGATAGCGGCCAAATCATCAGGAAGTTTCATCAGGATTGAGGGATAGGACCCGTCGTCTTGATCTGGTCGCGGAGGAGTAGATTGGATCTCGTCCGAGTGGTTTGAAGCCGACTCAGGAGAGATGATCTTGGAGTAGGCCTCGGCCGAGTTCGGAATGCCGAACGGCACGGGGACCTGATCTCTTCCTGACTGGTTCGAATCCAAGTTAAGGAGAGAGATCTTGCCGAAGTCGTTGGTGATGAAGTTGAGGCTGCCGAACCGGAACGCCTGCCCGGGAGGGAAGGCGAAGTCGTCGATGCCGGAGACAGAACCCATCGCACTTAGTCGGCAAAAACTTGACGCTACCCCTACCTGGCGCGCCAACTGTCGAAACAAGATTTCGGCAATAATAAAAGGGGGTGGCTATCAAGCTAGGAAAGTGGATGGGTTTGGAGACGAAGAATTTTATACAGGTTCAGGCCTTCTTATTCAAGAAGTAATACCCTACTCCTGTCCGGGGATTATTCCGCCGAGTGTGTTATTGATCGTATAAACTGGAAAAAAGAATCGTGCCCCGAGAGGCACACGGACCCTCCTTATATAGGGGAAAGGGTCCGCTTTACAAAGTACAGTCCATATCCCTAACGGAATATGTAATTACAGATAAAATACAATCGTAACCGACTAAGATCTCGGGTATTTCCTTGACATACAAGTTCAAAACTAACCCGAGTCCTCATAAAGATATTCTATTTATATTTGGTACCGTATATCTGACTAAATTATAACTGTCATGTAGATATGGGGTATCCATAATCTCCACACTATTGCCGTCGTATGCCCTGGGCTTCGGCAGCCACGCCGTGACGACGCTGGAGAAGACCTGACCATGAAAATCCTGAAACTCTGAAACGATTTCAAGGCAGTGTAGTGTGTGTATGAATTTCATTTTAGGTCATATTTTATTATCCAAGTTTCACTTTGGATCTCCTTTAAAATAATCTTTTTATTTTGGATCAGGTAACTTTATAAATTTTTTTTTGGCTTGGACCACCCAATCAACTTCTTCAGCACTCATTAATAATCTCAATCAAATCGGTTTTGGTACGCATGTGAACTTTTCCATCTATATGCAGGACAGATTTTCACGAAATTGAAGTACATGAATAATAAAGAGAGTTGAGTAGTTCTAACCAAAAAAAAAATGGTAAGGTTATACAATCCAAACGAAAGGATGGTCAAAGTTAAACATTGCTGATAAAAGGTGACCCAAACTATAATTTACTATCTGCTTTGCTCGAATTTCTTGGTGCCTTTGTTTGTATGAGCTTTTTGGCTAACTAGATCTGCATTGTCTCTCTTGTCATGTTAAAAAAAATATATAAGAGGATAAATCTGTTGAGCGCTAGCTAACTTACAAACTTATGATAACCATTAAGGATGAAGTAAATGAGTTAATTGTCGGCACCCATTTTAACTCGAATTTAAACAAAAAAACAAATTTTAGCCGTGTGATTTCGATCATCGTTGCATCTTGCAACGGAGGGAACCTGACATGGATAGACCTCGAAATCTACCGACTTGACCTCGATATCCAATAGAGAAGAGAATTGAGAACATACATAAAACAATGTGAGGTATTAGTGTATAATTAATTAAGTATTAATTATTTTACACTTAAAAAAATATATCACTATATTTTTTCAATTAACTTTTCATATGAATCTTTTAAAAACACACATTTTAGTAATTCAGAATTTTTCCAGGATTTAACGACGTTGTGCTTTCAGTGGTAGGCGACGTACTCGTCGACAGCGAGGCACCTGTGGTGATTTCGTTAATCTCTCCAAGATTTGCCGGCCCAGTCTTTGAAGATGCTCATAGAGGTAGGGTTTACGTGCGTGTGTTTATAGGGGTGAGTGCGCGTGCGTTGTGAGTGTCTGCGTTATACTGTGTAATTCTAAAAAAAAAGAAAAAAAAAAGAAAAGATACGCGCCAAAAACGACTCTTCTCTCTCTCTCTCTCTCTGTCTGCTGCTCTCGAATGCAGTCTGAGGCAGGTTGTGGCATGTCGGAGAATTCCTCTCTGAACCCCACAGCTCTCGGAGAATTGGACACAGATTTCAGTGTGGCCATTCCAATATTCCATCGGCAGCGGCGCGCCGGTGACGATGGTCACCGGGAACACAGTCACGTGCACCCTCTTTCGAGATGAAGGCTACAACGATTTGACTGCAAGTCTGCAACAAACGCCATTGTTCCGTGAAGTCTACATCAAAGCAGATTTGGTTCAGAAGTAAGAGTTCGGTGTAAAAGAACAGAAAAAGGAAATCTGCAAGTCTGTAACAAACGCCAAAGAACAGAACAAGGAAATCTGCAAATCTGTAACAAACACATCACGCAGATTTGGTGCAGAAAAAGAAGGTAAGAGTTCGGTGTAACAGAAAAAGAAAATGTTCCATTGCCGGGATTTGAACCCGGGTCGCCTGGGTGAAAGCCAGGTATCCTAACCGGACTAGACGACAATGGATTCTGATGATTTTTCTTCAAATCACATTTATATAAATAACAAACGTTTTGCAAACAGCACAAGAAATTTGCTCACGTAATGAGAACTGTACAATCTTTAACTGGCCATCATCCATGGCAAAAACGTTGCAAATAAGTAATGCTAGCTAGTTGCACTCAAAAGAACCAGAACAGTAGTACTCGCATGAAAGGGGAGAAAATCAGTCCAATTATTTTTTTTCTTTACTTTTTTTATAACTATTTGAATCGTTTTTAGATAAATGAGGGGGTCTAAAACGGTTTCCCGTCTCTTATTCATTAATAGTAAGTACATTACGAACAACTTCTTCAGCAACATGATTTTTTTTTCGTGAGGATTTGATGCCATTATATTCATGACACAGAAGTTGCGCGATCACTTGCTTGAATACATTTGTTTCTGAACAATACTCTTCATGCTTCAGGCTTATTGGAATCGGAGGCGAAAAGAACGGATGACTTCCAGTGTTCCACCATGGTCTGAAGGTTCTTGTAAGATGATCCGCCGGGGTGTACGCGTGCCGCCTCCTCCGCCTTAATTAGCCTTCCACCTCACCGCGTCCCACCGCATCTCCTCCGACTCCATTACCTGCTTCTTTTTTTTTAAAGATAAGAAAGATACATTGCAATCCCTAGTTTCTGCATCTAAATCTACCTAGCCAAAGAGATTCTGCATCTAAATCTACCTAGCCATAGAGATGAGGGAGGTAAAATAGACTTATTACCACCATATAATGTACAGCCCAAAGAGATGAGGGAGACAAATTAGACTTATTGAAGGACAAGCACGGTGGACTAGTCATGCCTTCAAGCCGGCACGGCACAGTCCGAGCCTAGGCCATAGGTACAGCCTGTGGACAGACACGGCAGGGCACAACGAGTTGGTCGGGCCGTGCCTTGGTTGTGCCCTAGCAGAGCCATGCCAGACGGTCTATTTGGCCATCTATAGTTGGAGCTCCATCACCTGCAACTTGTGTGGTGACCTGCTCTCTTCTCACCTCCTCACCAAGCTGGAGGCCGAGTGGCCGATGTCCCACGACTCGTAGGTGTACTTGTGGTTGACGTACTAAAAAAATCGTGTTTGATCTCAGATTATAGTCTCAGAGCAATGATCAAATAAAAATCATGTTAACAGATTGAATCTTCAATTTCCCACTCAAAATTGGGATTCTTGATTTTTTTTCCTTTCTAATTTAATTCTTTCTTGTTTGCAGCCCATTTAATTTGTCCATTATTTCCACCTCAACCAAGTCCAGCTGATGAGTCTTTTTCCTGGCTAATAACCCAGCGGCTTCTAGCCATTATTATTCATGAAAATAAATTGATCACTTGCTTGATGTACTACTGATTTCTCAACTGACATGGTTTCTTCAGGCTTCAGGCTTCAGGCTTTAGAGCTGAAAGAATTGATCACTTCCACCATGCTCTGCAGGTTCTCGTACGACGACCCGCCGCGGCGCGCCGCCGCCTCCGCCTGGGCCTTCCACCTCGCCGCGGCGCGCCGCATCTCCTCCGACTCCATCGCCAGCTCGACGTGGCCGGCGACCTGCTCCCGCCTCACCTCGGCGTCGAGCCGCACGCCGACGCCCCACGCCTCGCAGGCGTACTTGCAGTTGGTGTACTGGTCGGCGAACACCGGCCAGCACACCATCGGCACGCCGGCGGCGACGCCCTCGCACGTCGAGTTCCACCCGCTGTGCGTCACGAAGCACCCCACGGCGCGGTGGCGCAGCACGCGATCCTGCGGGCACCACGTCGCCACGCACCGCCGCCCCTCCGTCGCCGCCGCGAACCCCGTCGGCAGCAGCGCGTCGCCGCCGCCGTCGCCGGGGACGACGAGGTTCTCCCTGATGACCCACAGGAATGGGCGGCCCGTCGCGGCGAGGCCCCACGCGAACTCGGCGAGCTGCTGCGGCGTCAGCACGGTGAGGCTGCCGAAGTTGACGTACACGACGGCGCCCATCTCCTGCGCGTCCAGCCACGCGAGGCACTCGGTGTCCTGCTTCCACAGGCTCAGCCCGGCGACATCGTCGGCGGCGGCGTTGAGGAGGAGATTTCCGAGGGGCCCGACGGTGAAGATGCGCGGGTACTCGGCGCGGAGGGCGGCGAGGACGTCGGCCTCGAGGCCGTCGAAGGTGTTGAGGACAAGGGCGCCGGCCATGGTGCAGTTGTTGGCCTCGTCCTCGTTGAAGCGGAGGCCGAAGTCGTCGGCGTCGGTGGTGCGGACGAAGCTGGAGATGTCGCCGAGGCTGATCGGCGGCATGCCGGGGATCCAGTCGATGATGGTCGTGTCGAGGTGGCCATTTGTCAGCAAGCTCTCATCTGCGAAATGGAAAAAAATGCGTGATTCAGTTGGGCCTTGGTGTCGGCCCATTCACTGGTAAAAAAGGAATAAGTCCACTTTGACTCCCTTAAAAGACCCTCAACCGCAAAACCAGATAGAAAGACTCCCTAAACTATTAAAACCAGTGCAATTTGACTTCCTCAACGGTTTTGGAGGGCGGTTTTGCTGACGTGGCGCTGATGTGACGGTGTTGACCTGTATCCGTCCCACCGTGGCGCTTACGTGGCATTACAATTAAAATAAATATCGGTGGGACCCATTTGTCATTCACATAAAAAAATGTTGTGGCCCCACTAACATGTGGGACCCACATGTCATTCTCTCTCTTTCTCTCTTCTTGCTCCCCCTCTCCCCCTTCTCTCACCCCCTTTCTCTTCCCATGTTGATTTGGAGCCGGTTGGCAGCGAGCGTCGCCGAGGCCGAGGGCGGGGGCATCATGGAACCCCGCGATGGCAGCGGCAGGTGAGGGACGTCGACGGCGGAGGCGCTCCATGAGCAAGAGAGGAACTCGAGCGGGTTGAGCGGCAGCTCCAGTGGCGTGCGGCGACCCCGGTGGCGTGGGTGGGAAGGGGTGAGGTGGAGGAGTGCGGAGGCGGGTCAAGCGGCGGCTCCGGCGGCGTGCGGCAACCGCGAGAGCCTCTGCAGGCGGCGTGCCTTGGCCACCTCCGCCACCGCCGCATCCCCGAGGTCGAGGCCATTGAGTTCAGGCATGCGGCGACGGGTGCAGCGGCAGTGAATCCCCGAGAGCGGGAGAGGTAGACGGCGGAGATGGACGGCGTGGGCAGAGGGAGAGACCGAGGCGGGAGAGGGCTGGGTAGTGGGCGAGCGCTAAGGGGACGAGGTGGGCGCGCAAGGGGCGACGGAGGCAGCGGTGGCGCGATTCGGTGGCGAGCCGGAGCGGTGGCCGTGACGGCGGAGATCGAGGCGGGGTGCCACACGTGCCCTGTCACCAGCGAGAGGCTGAGCACCGCCATCATCGTCCACAACGTCGTGCCACTCCTGCATCTCCGCCGCTCGCGGGCTTCCGCGCCATGACCATGTCTCCGCCGCTCGCTGACGTCTCTGCTTGCCCGATGCCGCTCCGGCTCTCGCCCGCTGTCGCCGTCGCTGCCCCTGCCTGCCGATTGCGCCACGTGAGAGAAAGAGAGAAGGGAGAGAGAGGGAGGGAGGAAGTAGAAGAAGAGAGAGGGAGGATGACATGTGGGCCCCACATGTCAGTGGGGACCACAATATTTTTTAGTGTGAATTACTTATGGGTCCCACATATTTTTTTTTTAATTCTCATGTCACGTAAGCGCCACGTGGGACGAAAACTAGGTCAACATCACCATGTCAGCGCCACATCAGCAAAACCACCCTCCAAAACTGCTGAGAGAGTCAAATTGCACTGGTTTCAATAGTTTGGGGAGTTGTCTTATCCGGCTATGCGGTTGAGGGTTACGGATTAGACTTGGATCACTTTTAAGAAAGTCAAAGTGGACTTATTCCAGTAAAAAACCGGCACACGTGGACCGGCTGGATTTTGGCCCATATAAACCCATTTTACTCCCCCCACACACTTCTTTTCTGCTCATTTTATACTGTGAATTATTGAAAACGGTTCACTCTACTTTCTAACAATATTTATGTTTTCTATTATTTATATTAGTTATATTTTACACTTTAATTTTGGTATGATGATATATGTGATACGACTTTACATACCAATATATTTTTTGATTTTTTTTAATCACACCTCGCATGGTTGGAAAATATCGAGGATTGAAAGTTCAAGCAAACTTTCATGAAATTTTTTTGAAAATATTTGTCAACTCTAATAATGGTGTCATTTATGGTTCCAAAATGTCTTAGCTTAGAATACAACTTATATAAAGAGGAACCAAAAGGTAAAATGTTATTAAGAGATAGAGTGAAGCACTTAGAGGGTGAAATGAGTAAAAAAAATACTTTACGAGATTAAGATATCTAGCACGCGTATAGAACCCCTAATAAGGGAAACTCGAAATCGAAATCTTAGGAAAGGCTAAAAATAAAAAGCAGCATATATAAGTGTCGGTTCTTAATGAAATAGGCACATAAAAAGTCGCCACGTAATTTGTGCTTGTTTTCATTAAAAATCGACGCATGTAGTAATATTACTAGTGCCAGTTTTTTTTAAAAAAAAACGACACAAATAATACATCAGACCAGCTGATCCAAGCCGCCTCGGTCCTCCACCCGTACTTATCCTTTTTCTCCAGCCCATCTCCTTGTTTTTCCTCACTCATCCATTTCCTAGTGTGCCAATCTGTCCTAACCTTTCTCTCTTCTCCTTGTTCCTCTACTTCTATGTCTCCTCTTGAGTCAAGCAGCGGTCGGTAGCACACCATCCCCTCGGCAGGTGGTCCATCGGCCATGATGCCCTCCCCTCGGCAACAGCTCCCTCTTCATCGGCATGGCGGCAAGCCCTCCCAATGGTGGCACAGCGGCGGATTCCTCCCTATTGCGGTGACACCCTCCCCTCGGCCCTACCTCCCCACGAGCTTGGGGGTAGGGCTACCAGATCTGGCCACCACGAGCTTAGGGGGGCCAGATTCCACGCGCACGAGCAACAGTGCCGCGCGCGGTCTGCATGACTAAAAGGTACCTCTCCTCCTCATTCCCCATCCTTCCAGATCTCTCCTACCATCCCTAGATTTGATCGTGGTCTTTTGGATTTGAGCAGTAGCGGTGAACGACAGCGGAGTCCTTAGCCTTTGTTGAGTAGCAACGGTGGCGATGGCCGCCTTGGTCTCCGATGAGATGAGGTAATGGAGCCATGCATTGTTTTGTGATTTAGTTTTTTTTATGAATGTCATGTGTGTAGTTTTTCAAGGTGATTGTATAGTTGGAATTGTGATGATTTTGTGATTCAATTTCTGTACCTAATTCTTGGCTCCAAGCATCGGCTCGATCAACCTATGCATCAAGCTGGTTTTTTTATTATTATTTCTGGAACATTTGATTTTCCTCACCATTGTCATTGGGGTGCTAAGTGGGAAATCCAGTGTTTATGTCGAGTTTCCAACCGACACCAATCTATTAACTTAATAAAGTAATAAAAAAAGCCTCCACGTTGACTCTCACGGTCTAGAAAATCCCACGTTAATCGAAAGAAAATAAGAAAAAAAATAAAAATAGAAGGGTACTAGGATTAGGTTTTGTGTAAATGGACAAAAAAAAAGAGAATGGTATTAGATTAGGTGTAGTGTAAACGGGATAAAAAATGGAAACGGACAAAAAAAATTGGAAACAGACAAAAAAAAACGGAAACAGATAAGAAAGATAGAAAAAAAGTGAAAACATACAAGAAAAATAGAAATTCCAATGTTAATCAAGAAAAAGAGAAAAAAATAAGCATTGCGTCATAGTAGATCCAGATTATAATAGTTTAGATTTAATATAATAGTTATATAACTAATAGAATTATTTTTTACGGAAGCTTAAAGTAAGGTATAGGAATCGAAGTAAAAAAGTTTGAGATGGAAACGACCAAACAAACCACATGCACAAAGTTTATTTCTAATTTAACCAATGCAGAGCAAGTGTAATTGGATTAAGAACTAATCCATTAACTTATTTAAGTAATAGGAAAATTAGACTCCACGTTCGTTCTCATTCGTTCTCATGTGCTACAAATTCTCATATTAATCGAAGTCACGTTCGCTCTCATGAGCTACGAATTCTCATATTAATCGAAGTCCATATAGAAAAAAATTAAAATAGTTGAATTTGCAATTAGAAATAATAAATATTGGAAGAGAAGGCGTTCATACTGGTATACAATTTATAACTAACTAAAATATGGAATTAGAGAAAAAGAAATAATAAACTCCATATAGAAATACAATTTTAAATAGCTAAAATTCGAAATTAAAAAATAGAATATTGAAAAAAAATAGAATCCATATCAGTATATAATTTAGAACTACCTAAAATTCGAAATTAAAAAAAAGAAAATAGAAGTAGACGTTTGAGTGTATATAGAAATACCGTTTATAACTGAATTTTATAAAATTAAAAAATAAGAAATATTGAAATAAGAGTTTCAATAAAAATACAATTTAGAAAAAAAGAAAATTTGGAATAGAAAATAAGGAACATTGGCAGCTAGCCGTGTAAAATGTGCGGACCAAGCTAGTTTAGTGTTATGTAAGTACTCCCTCCGTCTCATGATATAAGGGATTTTGAGTTTTTGTTTGCACTGTTTGACCACTCGTCTTATTCAAAAAATTTTGGAATTATTATATTATTTTGTGACTTACTTTATTATCCAAAGTACTTTAAGCACAATTTTTCGTTTTTTATATTTGCACAAATTTTTTTGAATAAGACGAGTGGTCAAACAGTATAAGTAAAAACTTAAAATCCCTTATATTATGGGACGGAGGGAGTAATATCATAGCGAAATAGTTTGGAGAGTAAACTATTTTTTTTCTTTTTAAAATGATACCTAGACAGTCCGGTCCCTATCATCTTTAATTTCGTTACCTTTGAGTGGGATGTAGCCTCTCTCCCGTAGCTCTCGGGTTCTCATCTGTGTCACTAGTGCGGCCGCGCTAGAGCCCCAGAGCACCATGGTTGGCAAGCCGAGCTCCCGCGCCACGTACAGCGCGAAGCTCATCAGCGCCGTGACCACCACGCACGTCACCGGTGGCGCGCCGGCGCCACCGTCGTCGAGCCGCGCCAAGAGCTCCCGCAGCGGCGCTGCGCACCGGTTGCTCGTCGCCGCGGACAGCGCGAGGTCGTAGTTCCCGATGTCGTGGTCGGCGTCAGCCATGCCGTCCGGGATCGCCTCGAACCGGAACCCGTCGCGGCCGCGCACGGCGCCGGCGCCCTCGGCGGCCACGATCCGGCGGTGGTTGTGCTCGGTGTTGACGAAGGTGATGTAGACGCCATGGCCGTGGAGCAGCTTGGCGAGCTGCAGCGCCGGGTTGATGTTGCCGGAGCCAGGGTAGGGCACCACCACGGCGTGCGGTCTCGCCATCAACAACTACGTGATGTTCGTGTGTGTGCAATTCTGCAATGGCGTCGTCTGCATTTGGAGACGACGACCACCTTGGTTTTATAGATAGATTGGTGATGGTATCCATGGCGCATATGCCTCCCAATCCCAATGATATGGGGTTAATTGATAATAATAACATAAGTATTGAGATAAGAAATACTCCATTAATTTTCATCATCCGCTACATTATGATAATAGATAGAAAATACCTCGCGTGTTGCGTGCGTTGGGGAAGTGATTTGGTGAGGAAGATACACGCTACACAGAGCTCGGAGATTAGGAGTAGTTTAGGACTTGATCTTGACGAAAGAAGCTCAGGTAGTGATGTGATCTAATGGGCAAGTTGTCGGCATTCGGCAACAAGGCCCCTAAGGCATTTACGTGGCTTGTACTAAAAAGGAAAAAAAAATCATGTTTGATCCCGGATTATAGCTAGTCTGAGAGCAATGATCAAATTAATAAAAATCGTGTTATTGAAGCTACAATTTCCCACTCAAAATTGGGATTCTTGATTTTTTTTCCTTCTAATTTACTTCTTTTTTTTTTATTTGCAGCCCATTTAATTTGTCCATTATTTCCACCTCAAAATATCTGGGCCAAAATTTTTGGTTTTTCTCAATTTTTTGTGAATTTGGTCAAAATTATGTCAAATTCAGTTAAATTTTGTCAAAACTTCAGAAAAATTCGGTCCAAAAATACCAAAAATTCTGAAAATTCGGTTCTACAAAAATTTTTGTTGAAAACGAAATTGCAAACCCTGCCTCAACCAAGTCCAGCTGATGAGTTTTTTTCCTGGCTCATAGCCCAGCTACTAGCCGTTATTTGTCGTTTTTTAAGCCATTATTATTCATGAAAATAAATTGATCACTAGCTTGATTGTACTGTACTGATTTCTCAACTGACATGGTTTCTTCAGGCTTCAGCAGAAGCCTGAAGAATTGATCACTTCCACTAGCTATCAATGTTTTGACAAAACTAGTTAATAATAATTTTGTTGGATGTGCTATCAATGTTTTCTTTTATGTCGATCCAGAATTAATTTTAGTTACCATTGCAATATTTGCAACGTAGTTTATATATACTGGAGGCCGTTGTTTTAGTTATTGCCTTAGGAATTGTATATTAGAGACCACTGTAGAGCACCAAATGTAAGTCCTGTAAATAAAAAACAACTGGCATTGTCTCCAATCTCAAGAAGCGAAGCTGCGAGGAAGAGATGCAAATCTTAGTTTATGTAGGCAACCGCGATATGATAATCATCATGTGCAGTGCATGGGTTATTGCGTTACATTTTTTTTTTCTGTTCCAGATGTGCACTGCATATTAATTAATGTACTCTCTCGTCTCGTAATTGCGTTGATGCGAACAAACACGAGCTCACAAAATCCCACCGGAATGCAGCGTGGGTGACGTGTTGCCTCCCGCCAAGGTCCACACCAGCACAAAATTGCTGGGGAGGGGGTGATTTTCAGCTAGTTTGAGGTATTTAGATATGGGAGGAAATTGATTCATGATTAACCTCACATTTTTGCAAATATCGATCAAAAAGAAAGTATTAAGCACATAGTGAAATATAGTTAACTAAAAATGGTACAAAACAAAATGAACTGTTTAATTTAGCACAAACCCATATCACCCGTGGGTTTAGAGTGGTAGATCTAGACATATAAATATAATGGGGAAAAATAAACATGAAACAACAACTACTCTCTTCGTATGCCCCAGAATAAGCACACTAGCATTTAAAAGTTTTATTACGAGGAGTGCATTTCTAGCTTAATAACTAGTGGTCCATTTCCAAAGCCAGTGGAAAAACAAATTTTAGAGGCACCAAGAGTTCATTTTACTATAGCAATATTAATCTACCTCTCTCATGGTCAGCGATGTACTTATTTGAGGCACACGTGTGGAGGCTATATAAAACGCAGGGTTTGAAATTTCGGTAATTTCTCCCCCATCGGCATGCTCAAATCTCACATGAAATTTCCGGGGTTTTTTTTTGCAAATTTTTGTGAATTTGATCCAATTTTATTCAAATTCATTCAAAATTTTAAATAATTTCGGCCAGAAATTTCCGAAATTTCTGTAATTTTGGTCCCCGGCATAAAATCCAATTTCGAAATTGTCAACGCTGATGAAACGGGGTGTATTAGATATCCTCGATTAATTAGCTTAATTATCGATCAAATGCTTGGTTAATACTCACCTTTGAGGGGGATGTAGCCTCTCTCCCGGAGCTCCCGGATCCTCATGTGCGCCATCAGCGACGCCGCGCTGCCGCCCCACAGCACCATCGTCGGCAAGCCCAGCCCCCGCGCCACGTCCAGCGCGAAGCTCATCAGCGCCGTGAGCACCATGCACGTCACCGGCGGAGCGCCGCCGCCGCCGTCCGCTGATCCGGCGGCGGCGCCGTTCAGCCGCGCCACGAGGTCCCGCAGCGGCGCGGCGCACCGGTGGCTGGTGGCCACGGACAGGCCGAGGTCGTAGTCGGCGGCGTCGCGGTCCGCGTCGAGCAGGCCGTCCGGGATCGTCTCGAACTGGAACCCGTCGCGGCCGCGCACGGCGGCGGCGCCCTCGGCGGCGAGCGCGCGGCGGTGGTTGTGCTCGGTGTTGACGAAGGTGATGTAGATGCCATGGCCGTGGAGCAGCTTGGCGAGCTGCAGCGCCGGGTTGATGTTGCCGGAGCCAGGGTAGGGCACCACCACGGCGTGCGGCCTCGCCATCGACGACGACGACGACTAGCCGAGCACTGCAACTACGTGAAAATGTTGGTGTCTCTGCAACAATATGCTGGCCTTGATCTCTGTATTTTGAACTTACTTGCATTGGCTGTGTAACAAATTACATTAAACAACTTGATTATTTCTTTAATGTGCATGCAGACCACGCGCTACAATATCGGCGGGCTTAATTTGAATATGGTGACGAGAAATGCAACCGTTTCTCATATTGACCTAAATGCCCTTGTGTGAGTGGATATACGGTATACCAACCGTGAGCTGATGCAGCAGTCCATTTCTCTCTTCCTCGTTGAAACCCTAACCCTAGCTGTGGCGGCGGCAGCAACGGCGACGGCCACAGCCACGGCGACGGCGGCGGCGGCGACGACGAGGGCCACGGCCACGGCCACGGCGACTACGTGTTTCAGGATGTCTATTTTGTGTAGCTAGATGGAAGTGACAGTACAAGTAGTGGCTGTAATGGCACATGAATGCTCATTTTGCTGCTATCTTAAGTTGATGAAGTTGATGAAGACTGCATTGTGCCTAGTTATATCATTTTGAGGCTCTTGTTATCAGAACAAGCTGGCTGTAATGAAGCTATGACTTCATAAATATGCTTGCTATCAGAACAAGCTGGCTGTATGGCTATCCAGAACCATTATGTTTGTTAAATGCAAATCTTTTCATATGTTGTGCCCAAATGTGATTGCATCATGACTGTGAGGCTACATTGTGCTTACAATTTGCAAAAAAAAAAATATTAAATGTGTTTACATTCTGCCTGTGTGGGCTATATTGTGCTGACATTTTGCAAACCCTATTCACCGCACGTTTTTGGCAAGCACATCTCAACCTCGGGATGGAGGAAGCTTGCTGGGACTGATGAAGGCTAGATCCACTCGAGCTTCCGGATCCCTCCATCTTCGTGGCCGTCGTCGCTGCTGCCGCCACCGCCCGCCGCCGCCGTCGCCGTCGCAGCCGCTGCTGCCGCCCGCGGCGTGGGATGGGAAATGATTGTGTACGGGTTGCTCGAGTCGGCCAGGCCCGGTCCTTTCAATTTAGTGGCCTGAAGCAAAGCTAGAAAAATGGGCCCTTTAATACAACTATAATAATATAACGATGTTTCTGATAAATGTAATGCATAAAAAAACATTTAAGTTATATATCTTACCTTAAAAATTTCTTCTAACATTCACTGTAAATTTAGAAATTAGTAAGTAATTATGGAAATTATTTCATACTAAATTCAATTCAACATTATAATTAAAATGACTGCTGGTATTCACTGCCCTAGACGCACACTTGCACAGCTGCAACGTAAGGATCCCTAAACCCCAAAATCAGAATTTCAGAAATTAGAAGAGGAGCAATTGGGGAGTAAAATTTAAATCCCAAAATTTAAACATATAAACTTAGCATACATCAAATGGGAGAGCAGTGGGTACCTCCCGGAACTGAACGGAGAGATTGCAACCAGTTGCCGGCTGCTGCCGAGCACGACGCCGTCGCGCCCTAAACACAAGACGACGCAGCCGCCGGCACGACCCCGTCGACGCGCCCTAAACCCTCGGAACAAGACGACGCGACTGGAAGCGGAAGCGGTGCACCGCGGCAGCAGAACAGCGAACAGGCGAGGTGATGAGGCGAACAGAACAAGCGATCGCGGAAGGAAGCCAAATCGACGGACGACGGATGTGTCTCTTCCTCTCTTGGGCGGGTGGGCTTTCTAATTCCTCTATAGGCTATTATGTACAGCATATATGGGGTTGGGACCACCTATATATTTGTCGACAAATTTTCTTCTAAAAATTTGATATATGTAATTATAGTACAATCGTAATGTAATTACACTGTAATTTGTATGTAATTACACTGTAATTTGTATGTAACTACAGTGTAACTTGTATGTAAGTTTCATGTAATTTTGAATCGTTAGATCTATTACAAGATTTATTTTGGTGAGGAAGAAAAAAAACACAGCATACACATATGTGTAAGGATTTGTTCCCACGACCTCTATTTTACCGAAATAACATATTACGGAGAGATTTTTAAAAGTTACATACAAGTTATACTATAGTTACAGTGTAATTACATGCAAGTTAGTGTAATTACACTACAATTGTACTGTAATTACATCTGTTAAATTTTTAGGAGAAAATTTGTCGACAAATATATAGCAAAACTGATGGGGTTGGGTCCCTTCACTTCGTGGGCCCTATGCCACTGCACAGCTCGACCCCCCCCCCCCCAGGGCCGGGCCTGGAGTCGGCCTGGTCCAACCTGGGGCATTTCAGTCCATACGTAAATACCGTACACTACAAACGGCGCCAACGCCGATTCGTGCGTACAGAGTGGCGATGAGAGAGTTTCACCAAAGTACCAGTGGCATCTTTACGATTTATTGAATAGTAATGTTATTTTTCTAAACCACAGAATTTATAATAGCATGTATCTAATTAACCCTTTTTTAACCCCTCAAAAGGTTTTTTATACGCTAAAATTGAAATTTGGTAGAGCTAAAATTGAAATTAAAATATGGCACTGTATATATATCTGTTGACAGAAAGTCCCACCTTCCATCTTTTAAATTTTGGACCATCGGATATGCTTTAATATTCGTGCAGAGGCATTAACCCTAACTCCCCTCCTTCCGTTGCCCTCCCATCGCACATTCCGCCGCCACTGCCCCAACGCGCCGCCGTCCGCCTCGCCGGCTGGCCGTAGGGTGTCAACGGCGTGGGCAAGATCCCCCCCCCCCCCCGCCAGCCTCCTCCCCCTCCCCCCTCTGTCCTTCCTCCTCGAGCCGTCGGCGGCGAGATGCCCCTGCCACCAATGCCGGCCCATCGTCCTCCTCTAGCCTCGCGGCTCCGGCTCTGCCGCCGGCACCTCAGTGCCCACCCGATCCGCTGCCGTCCACCGGACTGCCACCTCCCCCGGACATCCCTCTAAAGCCGGCGAACTCGCTTGTCTTCCCCAACCCCTCCCACCCCTCCCGCCCCCACCCCAACCCGGGACCCTAACCCGTAGAGCCCTCTGCCGGAGTCTAGGGTGTTGCTGGCGTCGGAGAAGAAGAGGAGGTCGCTATAGAGTTGGAGAAGGCCTGGAGCACGAATCGCGAAGCTCATCCGGTGGCCCAAAATTTGCAATATTTGGGGATGCAATTTCTGTCGGCAGAAAGTTAGCAATACCGTTAAAATATATAACGCCATGATAACTTTGCATGCCATATAGCATGTTACAATAGATGATTTGGTAAAGGGAAAATTTAGATATCTTAGCGGAGTTTTGAATAAAATATTTTTTATACTGAAGAAAATCTATTGTTAGATTTAAATTTTACTACCCTACTCGTTAGTAGTAGAATGTAGCGTAACAATGCCTTCTTTTAAAGAAAAAAAAATACTGTAGGAGAAGTTCCTATAGTGAATATATATGTATAAGTTAAAAATTACAACTGTTTGGAGACCCTCCATCACTTCCATCACCGACAGATCAAATCTCCTACTTGGGCATATATATATGGGGCAATTGCGTTTTGGACCCTATTTTGAGGACTAACTGCTAATTTAGCCTTGCTTTTTTGAGTTTGATCATTTGGCCCTCTTTTTTACAAACGAAGATGAGACTTGGCCCTATTTCGTGAAGTCAACGTGACGGTGTTAACTCAAAACAAAAATTCCATTTATACCCTTGTGACACAGATTTATGTCTACCAAAAACAAAAAAAAAAAGAACATGTCGACACCTCACCACTGACGACGAACTCCCAAGCCCATTCGTGTGGAGCAGCCGCCACCGCCGGTGCTCCCTCTCTCCCTGCAGAACCGCCGCCTCCCCACCGAAGTCCACTACCGCCGCGCCGCCTTCGCTGACCCACCGAAGCGCGCGTCTCGGTGCCGCTAGATCCACCGTGCACGTGCCTCGGCGCGACCGGATCCGTCACCTCATCGCCGAACCTCCGCCGGATCCACCCTGTCGGCGTCGCCCCTCCTCATCGTCGAGCCGCCACCGCCACTCCTCCGCCTCGTCGAGCCGCCGCCGACCCTCCTCCTTGTCAAGCCACCACCGCTCCTCCTCTTCGTCGAGCCGCCACCATCCCTCCCATGCCACCGCCGCCGCAGCCACTCCTCCGCCTCGTCGAGCCGCCGCCGACCGTCCTCTTCATCTAGCCACCACCGCGCGGCAGCTGTTGCACAAGGAGGGCGGCGGGAGGAAGTTCCTCTTAGGCCGCCGCCGTCGCTCCCTCCCTCCACAAGCCGGCGTCGCTGCTCCCTCCCTCAGCGAGCCAGCACCGCGCGGATCCCTCCCTCCCCGCCTCGCGGCCGCCGCTCACGGCCGCTCCCTCCCTCCACCCGTCGCTGCCGCCGCCGCAAGCACTCGGCGAGAGAGAGAGACGGGATACGAGGGAGAGAAGGGAATATATATGGATAGGGTTTGGTCGAGGGTATTTTAGTCATTATGAAAAGTAATTA